CACTTTGCAGCAAGTGCGCGTTAGAGGCCTCCTGCGTTGCTTACACTTATGAAACGCACCTGCTGCATTTCGCAGATTCATTTTCGGTTTTTGTTTCGTGTTGTTTTGACTATGCTGGCAAGACCAGCTTCTGAATGCCTGCAATCTGTGCTTTTGCGGGCTCAGGGTTGACATCTATGCAAAGGACCTTTACCGCGGGAGCTCATGTTTTGGAAGGTGGGGGTGGACATGCACCATTGCGGGCGCTTTGAGACGTCCTCTTTTCACCTCAAGCAGCGCGAGTGCAGCTTTTTGATGGGCGGGGTGCTTGCAAAGCTCTTTTGAATCAAAAAAGTGTACATTTTCATTCCTGGGTTAGCAAAGCTAGACTAGGAGCAACACGCCAGTTTGAGGGGGCATGTGTCAGGCTCTGAAACGCATACCAAAGCTGGCAGTTAGCTAAAGTGTGTTACCGGTTGCTTGCTTGTTGTTGCTCCCTTTTGCTGCGAAATCTTCAGCAGCATCCTCGCGCAGACAAAGTATGATTTAACAAAACACCTGTATGCATTGAGTTGAGAACCGTCCACCTGGAAAGTGCCCCCCCCCCCGTCCGGAAGACCGTTTTGACTGTTGTCAATCCAATTTAGTCAGAGGGTCCAATTCAGGGCCCTAACCTTGAAGCTTCAACTTCTTTTGTTTTTGGGTTTAGACCTTGGGGGCTTGCCGGCGAAAGGATGTGGACTGAAAAAGCTCATCCTTTCCTAGCTTCTCACATGTAATCCGAGGCTTTCACTTATCAACCTTTACATCTGGCTTGGGATTGCAGGCGCGCGAAATGATAAGAGAGCGTCGCTCAACAAGAAAATGTTTGAATGAACAAGCCATTAAAAAGATGAATAAGCACACTAACGCGCGATGCAATTTCTATCATTCGCTTTATTGGGGGTCGGACGGTGCTTGCAAAGCGTTGAACAACCCTAGACCCTAAACCCTAAACCCGAAACCCTAAACCCTAAACCCTAAAGTTCCCAGAGAGCCCAATACCCCTTAATTCAGGAATAGAGCTTAAATTATAAAGGGATCCTTACTATGATTTTAGGAATATTCCTTAATCAAGGGGTTTAGGGTTTAGGGTTTAGGGTTTAGGGTTTAGGGTTTAGGGTTTAGTCTTTGGGTTCCTTTCACCGCGCAAGCCACGAGGCCGGAGAGCTGCCGCGGGGTCCTCATGCCTGGGCAGCCCCGGCGCCGAATGGCCACTGAGGTAGGTTTAGTTAGGGTTTAGGGTTTAGGGTTTAGGGTTTAGGGTTTAGGGTTTAGGGTTTAGGGTTTAGGGTTTAGGGTTTAGGGCTCATTCGATTTTAGGTTTCAAAGTGCTGGGCTGATACGGCAGCCGTTGGCGTCATGGTTTGGGGTGGCGGGGTTTGCATGCAAATGCAGCCAAGTGCTCAGCAGTTCATTCGATTCCCTACCTCAGTGGCTCGACCAAGTTCCGGCGTAAGGATGGTGGTCGACCGAACTGTTTCCACAGAGCACCGGCGACTGGTGTTGTTTGGCCTGGTGCCGGGGTTGCAGGTTCGAGGTCAGGGGGTCAAAGATTGTAAGGCTCATTTTTCCTGAGATGTGATCGAAAAGAACTGCAATGTGGCCTAAGCAGCACAGAACGTACTCTCCTGGACCCCAAGTTAGGGCCGTATGTGCTTAAATTGAGACACGACCAAGAAGTGTTCGTAGTTACGTTCTGGCATCTTCGTAAGCTGTAGCAGCCAAAGTTCCCTCATCAAACCAGGGCGCAAGGCGCTGTCCTCAGCCACACATAGAAGTACTCCAAGGTTGTTCCCGTAATGAAGGAATATTCCTTAAATCATAATAAGGATCCCCTTATAATCTAAGGGGTATTGGGCTCTCTGGGTTAAGCCATAGGCACCTTGTTCAAACAGCAACAAGCCAAGAGTGTTCGAACTTGCCAGACCCGCCTTGCAAACCGTAAGGGGGTTACCATAATCAGGGACCCCTAAAATAGACCCCCCAAATAGTAGGATCTCCTTATAATAAGGACCCAATAAAGTACCCCAATATCGTAAACCTCCCCATAACAAAGCGAATCGCCTGAAGCGTCTCTCGGCCGACTGCCTTCTTCGGCCACCAGTGCCGAGCGCCGACAATTCAGAACCGCACCAAGAACTCGCGGAACAGACTTGGGCTGGCCACGATGATTCTTCAGTGAAAGTTTTAGGGCTTACTCGTTTCAAGGGCTCTTGAGGCTGAATCCTATCTTGGTGCAGCTCCTTCCGTGTTGCTACCGTATCCTTGCTTGCTTTCTAGTATTTTCAGGGGTTGTATTCCAGTAGGCTGTTATGACAGATCATCCACTAGCATTTTTCTTCTTCTTTGGATTGGCCTTGACATTTTTCACGATTAGTAATCGTAATACAAGGGTCTGTAAGCGACTCTTTGCGTATGATCGCTGTTGCCGATAAAGTGTTTTGGACTGCTTTGATCTGCCTTGCTGTTGAACGTCATCTTTGCAAATGGTGGCTCCTTCACAGCTTTCCAAAGATCTTTCGCAAGAGTCTGTCTATTGAATACGAGGCCAGTGACCATCGTCCGAGAGAGTCTCAAGCTTCTGGGGTCATTCTGGCGGGCAGCTTCTTCTTCGTCATCTCTAGTCATCTATCCAACATCACCGGCGCCACAAAACCCCCAGCCCCAAAGCTCAGGTCTTACTGAAAGAGGTCTAGACATAGAGAAACATGCACTTTAAGATGATGCTGTTCGGTGTCAAAACTGACTTGTGCGGCAGATGCCTTTGCCCAGACTGCGCAGCGATCCCGATGACCCCCCCCCCCCAACCCGTTTCGAGTCGTCTCGAGGTCAGCGCAGCCTTGCCGGCAATCAAGTATCTAAAGCATTTAAATGGGATTTGGGGTCGTATTTGGGTCCTTCCCCCTGCTCGGCATCAGACTCTGCTTCAGTCACATCTGAGCATCGCGTAGAGCAGGAGAAAGCTCCCGTCCCAGCTATGTGTAGTGGAGATCTTTGTTCAGTGTTGTGAGAGGAGACGATAAGCTAGTTTGCGTTTTGTCAACGTGAAGCCCACGAGCAAGAATGCATGCTACTACGTACTGCTGCAACCAGCTCCCAAAACAGAAGCACCTTCATCAAAGAAGGTCGGATAACTCGAGACCATGGGAGTAGTTGAGTGATTTGATCGGCTGCGCGGCGACCTTGAGTGTACTGTTTCCGGCTAAGATTCAGATCCTGGACGCTTGCCACTGCCCGGCATGAAGCCCAACTCGGCTTCAGAGTGGCTCAACTGACCCTCAACCCTAAACCCTAAACCCTAAACCCTAAACACTCTCAGTGCTGTTTACTGTTTGCGCTCTTGGGGCTCCACAGATCAGATCTGGATTCCGAAGCCTTTGCACGGAGCACACTCCGAGCAGAGAGGGAGATGTTTATGTTCCCAACGCGGCGTTGAATGTCAAAAGCTTGCTTGGGGGTACCTTCTTCTGGCTCTCTTAAACAGGGACCTTATTCAGAGGGTCTATATCCCCAAGGGTCCCCCTAATCCTATCCCCTATTTAATTGACAGAAGAGCTTGTTCAGCGATTTCTGACAGACCCGGTAAGCGTCGTGCCGCCTTCTTCTGATTCGGGTGATTCGGGTTGTAGCTGTAGGATGCCTTGCATGCTGAGTTAGGGTTCATTCTGCAAGTTCCATATCAGTTGACCTCCCTGATAAGGGAAATGAAACGGGTTGCAAAATGATGACCTCAGTAATGATCTCATGCCCATTATTCATATGAATATTATTACATAGGAAATACAAATACTATGTGAACATCTTTATTCTTAAGTATTTATTGAGAGCCTTTGGGGTGGAGGCTCGAGGCTTGATGCAGTTGCTTTGGTCTTGCCTTGACGCCACGTGGTCGTTTTGTCCTCCCTGTCCTCTCGTCCTTACATCCTCTGGTCCCAGAGCTACTATTGCTACTAGGGTTTAGGGTTTAGGGTTTAGGGTTTAGGGTTTAGGGTTTAGGGTGCTACTGTGCTGTCAATGGCTCGTCAATGGGCATTGGTTCAAAGTCCAAAGATTCCTTAACAAACCCATCATACGAGCCTTGTGCTTGCCAACGGCGCAGGGGGCTTCGTCCCCCAAGTCCCCCACTCCTTTAAGCTATAAAGAGCTTGCTTCCAAGAATGTCGTGCCATCAATCAGCTTTAACTCAGAGAGAACGAGTCGAAAGTGCTGACAGTTACCGGGCTCTGCCCGAGGGGAGAAGAAAAACACAAGCGAAAAACACAATTGACAGCGAGAGCAAAAGCTCCATCCTTTCCAAGCCTTCATACGAGCAGTGTGATTAGAAGTGGGGTGTGTGAACAGATGTTTAACCAGGCATGTTGCAGCAGCCCAGGCAAGACTACAAGAACTGTTGTAATTTTGCAGCATTTGGAGCTTTTGAACAACCACAAAAGTTGTTATTTACGACGTTTGAGCTTATGAACTCCAGATGCTGTGACTTGCAGTATCTTGTATCTTTAGCTAACGATTGTACAGCATCCGAAGCCCGTGAACAGTCAGAAGAGCTGTAGTTGAGATTTACTTGGAGTGCAACCTGACCATGGAGGTACATTGCCCGATGGTGCAACATAGGTTAAAACCATTCCAACGCGTCGCCAAGCGCTCATTCTGATGCCAAAGACTCAGGGCGAAGGTTTCGTTCTTTGGTGGCGCTGGAGCTCTAAAGCGCTTTTGTTGGTTGGGGCTGGAGCTTGAGCACCCCCGAAATCAGAATCCTATATCCCCCTTGAGAATTTTTTTGTTTTTGTTTATTTAAACCCCAAGAGGATAGTAAACATATTATTTTTATTAAGGTTCTAAGGGGAGTATAGAATCCCTACCATCCCGCACCTGAAACCGATTCCCCATGAGGGTTCTAACGCTGATGGCTTGGGCTCACAGCTTGGCGTGTTTAGTTCCGGAACTATCGTTGGCATTGATCGCTGCTGTGCTGAGCGGCTATGACAACGGAGGTCGGGGAGCTTGGCAGAGTTTGGGTCGTAGACCCTAAACCCTAAACCCTAAACCCTAAACCCTAAACCCTAGGGTCGGAAGTTAAGGTTGCTTCTTCTGGTATTTAGAGGTTGTAGTGGGATCTTCTCTCAAGAACTCGAGATCTAGGAGGCCCCTAAACACGCAATTGTTTCCTTCCAGAAATCCGAAGACCAGCAATACACGCCTTTCACGGCGTACTGTTCGGTTCCTAAGCTGAACCCCAAAACCTCAACGCACCATACAGGGATTTAGGGTTTAGGGTTTTACTTGCGCAAGAGTGCTCAGTCCCCGAGCAGCTTTTGGTTCAGCATCCTTGGGGTTAAAAGTGGCTGGGAGCTTGGGTGGGTCGAGGGGGTTTATAAGGAGCTGAAGACAGAAGCACTTGTGGAGCGATGGCTTGAAGGTGCACTTTGTACCTTTCGAAGCCGAGAAGAGCTGTCCGAGCATGTGTTTGCGCAATTCCATCACATGCTGCGGACTACACTGCTGCGCACTGCTGGGCTTGCTTGCCAGGAGTGTGCGCCAGCCGATGCTGATTCCGGCGCGGGTGCGCAGGCTTCTTTCCGCGCAGGGTTTAGGGACGACGGACTCCAGCGGTGTTGCATTGGAGGTTTTCAAGAACCTGAGGCCAATCTTTTGGGTTCAGGCATCGTGTGAGTTTGATCGAAGTTCATAGCTTGAGAGGCCGGGGCAGTTTGGGTGTTGGGTTTGCGGTCTGTGCCCTCACAACCCCATTGACTGACTCGCCTTTTGCTTCCTCTTCCTCGGCAGTCGACGGCCAACACCAAACCATGCGAAGTCCAGTTTCCATGGCCTATCAAGAAACACTCGATGATTTGGCGTCCTCTTCACCCGACGGGTGTAAGATTGCTGCGGCGGGTGCCAGGCCTTGTCGGTCCAGTGCACACTAAACACTCGTTGATAGCCTAAACGGGGTGCAACATGGAACCCGAGACACTTGAACTTTCGACTGCTAAAACAAAGGGCAACGGAATACCATGGATCAATCATTCAAGCGATATGCTCCTCCATATTCTCCCTTCGGTTAAGCCCATGTACAGGCTTCGCACTCTGGTTAAACCCTAAACCCTAAACCCTAAACCCTAAACCCTAAACCCTAAACCCTAAACTCAGTCCCACGTTCGAGGGACCTTGGGCTTTGAGAAGCTGAATTGCTGCACCACATGGTCTCGACACTCCCATTGAGCATAGGCTTGCAACAAGTGTTTTCCCTGTTGCTGTCCCAAAAAACAAAGCAAAGCCACTGAGCACAAACACAGAAATCATGTCCCAACGGTTTTTCGTTGGAGGGTTTCGGGGGATGGTTTCCAAGTCATGCTTGAGTAGCCTCATCTGTCTTGGCATGATCTTGTTTGCTGGGCTTGTTTCGATTACCCCCCCCCAACACAAGCAGCATGGATCTTGGCTACAGGACTGGATCTTCGTAAGGGGGGCTTGTGGGATAATGTACTATGCAGGCAGAGTATGGACGAAGGTCTCTAGGGTTGCAAGGCCGGTAATGATTAGGGTTTGGGGTTCAGGGTTTTGGGTTTAGGGCTTAGGGCTTAGGGTTTAGGGTTTAGGGTTTTGGGTTTAGGGTTCGGGACCCCCAAAACCCAAAAGGCCGCCAAGAACTCCCTCGTCAGGCCCTGCAGGAGGCCTCTCAAGAGGCCACCCAGGGCGATGAGAAGTGCGAGACCCAGTTTCTACATCCCCCTTGGGAATGAGTTTTTTGCTAATATAAAACCCCAGAGGATATTAAACATATTGTTTTTTATGAAGGTTCTACGGGGAGTATAGGTTCTGCAGCATTTTACGGGGAGCTTCGTGCTGTCTTGTTGGAGAACTGGTTTGAAGCCATACGCAAGGCTGGGCCCAAAGCCCTAAGCCCTAAGCCCTAAGGCCCTAAGCCCTAGGGCCCTAAATGAGGTTTTCTGCCTCAGCTTAGTCGAAGCATAGCAGCTTCTTGGCTCCCACTGTCGAATACCGAGGCCATTAATTGAGCCTGTCGCAGAGACGAAGGCACCGACGTTCCTGCGTGGTGTTTGGGGTTTCAGGAGCCCGAGTTATAGAGTACTTTTGGCTGAGGCGGGCTTTGAGAGGCGGTTGCTGCTTAAACATGTCGTGCTCTAAGAGACACTTCGCCCCTCCAGGTGCCAAGCACTAGAGCTGCCACATCCTAATTCCCCTAGGTGGGAGAAGGGGGACCCTTAGAAGGGAACCCTTCTTCACCTTGTGCTGGCTCTATTAAACAGGGACCTTATTCAGAGGGTCTATATCCCCAAAAGGGTCCCCCTAATCCTATCCCCTACCTAAAAAATCGTGAATAATCTCAACCCTGGTTGCTTGCTCCACCGGCAGCTGGTTCCGCCTTCCCAAAAAAGGGGACCGACTCGCCTAAAGAAGTCCTGGAACTCTCCGCCTTCCTCAAGCCCGGATTCCTAACCCCGTGGTATGTAGCTGTGCAAAAGTGCTGTACCAAAAAAGCCCTAAATTTCAACAGATCTCACACATGGCGAATTGGATTCATGACATGGCGCTACATGCATCCGGTTGCATCTCGAATCCAGACCTGGAGTGTGTAAGAGCATGCCCCTAAAGTTCGCGCTGCGCCACAACGTAGCGATGGCACGCCGCAGGCCGAAGAGGAAGAGCCAGCTGCTGACGATGCAGCCGCTGGTGAAAAAGGCCCGACTACGCCAACCAAGGGCAACTTCAGAAGTTGAACCATGAGTTGTTCGGGCTTGCCTTCATGCTTTTTGTTTTTTAAGGAGGACGTGTGGGGCCTGGGGCCATGTACCGAGTCAACTCATGCCAGGTCAATATTGAGGACTTGTGGCTTCAAAGGCTCAAAGACATCGAAAGCGACGGACGCGGGCCCGTTGACCCCGAAGCCAGACGAAACAGCACGTGAAAGTCGAAACGCTAAACCCGCACTTGCTTTGGCCACAGTCTTGCCGAGGGGCTAAGGATGGGTTTCAGGTGGGTCATTCAAGGTTTAGGCGATGTGTGGACAGGCTCAGGCCTGACAACAATGGGCTTCAAGGATTTAGGGTTCGGGGTTTCAAGGATTGCAGGGTTTCGGCTCTGAATGTTCAGTGACTCAATGATTTCATTTATTCATCTATTCAAAAAGCCTTTGGGTGGCCCAAGCTGCCCAAAGGCGCGGCTGATCTTTGGGTTTTGCTCTGAAGGAAATCTGTCGATGTACAGCTCGCGCTTCTGCACCTGGTTTTCGAGTTCCCCTGTGGCCCTGTCAAGTCTTCAAGACTTAGGGACGAAGCTCGTAATTTCCATTCAAGAGGCCTGTAGAGCCCAGGGTTCAAAATCTCACAAGCCCGCAGAGAGCTCCCACCTAAACCCTGGAGCCATTCATATTCCGCCTATCTGCAAGCTGCACTTGAGCTGCGCTTGAGAAGGATCAGAGGCCAGAAGTTCCAGAGCTAAGGTTTAGGGTTTAGGGTTTAGGGTTTAGGGTTTAGGGTTTAGGGTTTAGGGTTTAGGGTTTAGGGTTTAGGGTTTAGGGTTTAGGGTTTAGGGCTCCAACCAGTCCTCTTGATCTGACAAGGCAAAGGCAGCGGATCTGCGCCTGAGGCCGACGTGGAAGGCTCCTTCGATCAGTTGTCCCGGTGTTGTCCCAGTGCTGTCCCAAAATGGGGGTTTAGGGTTTAGGGTTTAGGGTTTAGGTTTAGGGTTTAGGGGTACCTTCTTGGGGTCCTTACCATAAGGGAATCCTACTATTTGGGGGTCAAGATTAGGGGTCCCTTATTTTTCGTAAACCCCCAAAATGAGCGTGCGGTGCATGAGTTTTTCGTTCCCCCCTGAAATCCTTTACCATCAAGGTGTAATGATGCAATAAGGCAAAGCCATTGATTTTCCCTTGTTTCTTTTGAATTTCGCTTGTTTTTTTTCACTAGTTGAAATCTGTCATCATCAAGGCTTAGCAATTTATTCTCCAAACCGCGCTGTTTGGGTCCTCTCCTCAGAAAACAAGAGGAACGAGCCTGGCTGGATGGATGTATCGCAGGTTCCGGAGCGGGGGTGCCGCGGTTTGGCTGGGCGGAGCCTCCCAAATCTTTACGTCCACGCCACCTTTGGGGTTTCTAATAACCAGGCTCCAATCAACAACCCGAACACCCGAACGGGAAAGCCGAAAGGAGGCGGCAAGGGCATTTCCGGCGGCCCTTGCGACGGAGAAGGCTAAGCACGAAGCTGGCCTTGCCTTTGCGGAGAGGCGCGGGAGTGTTTGCCTGAGGCACATCCAGAGCGCTGCGCAAGAGGCTTCAGCTGGGCGACCGCTGTAGCTTCCGGATAAGAGTTTCATTCAGATCTGCTTACCTGCGCGAAAAGGCAATTTCGGCGGATGCCAGTGGACATTCTGCCGCTGGCCCTGGCTGAGGACAGCCAACCGCTGGTACGCCTCATGAACAGGATGATGGTGGATGCGTGGATTTCGGGTGACCCGCCGGATGACACCTGACAAAGATCATACAGGCGTCGAAGTTGACGGACGTCAGGCTGGGGACCTCCCATTTGTGGCCATGGACTTTGGGCTGCGATCGGTTGACCGAGAAAAAGGAGCGTAAAGCGCCAGGAAAGCTGAGCGCAACTCAAAGCGGGTACCCTGTTGCTGTGTCACGTTTCCTTGCGTTTCTGCTGAGTTTGGGGAAGCCCTACCCCCAACAGCTTTAGGATGCTTGACATGGGTGTGTCGGAATTCATGAAGGCGCCGTGGGAAGATGGTGACCCGAATTAGCCTATGCAGTTCATCCTGGCGGTCAGTGTAGTGCTATTCAGCCCTCCCCCGTTTTCCCGCCCCTTGCACCCTTTTCAGCCTTCCTGACCTTGCCGGAGCAGCTACAGTTTCGCGTTGCCGATTGAGCGAGGTGGATGCCAGGTTGTTTGAAGTGTTGACCTCTGTGGGGGGTGGCTGAGCTCTCGTCTTGCCCGTCCCCAGGAATTGGTGGCAGCCGTATTGGGCATGGGTGCCCGTGGGGTTGGTTTTGCATTTCTGTGTTCACTCTTTCACTGAACCAATGCACTTTCTAGCTCGTGCGTTAAAACAAGTGCCGGGAGTTTGGAGCACGATTAAGAATAGCTCGAAAAGCTTGAATGACAGTCCCAAATTAGTTTTTACAATGTTTTTTCTCCAAAGGCCCTTTGATTTGTTTTTTGTAATGAGGCATGGGGCAGAGGTTAAATCCTAAATGGCAAAGTGCTCAACAACGAAGACAGAAGGGTCGTTAATATTAACCATCTGAACATGGGAGCTGAGCTTCAAGGTCGTGTTTGCTGTCGGTTAGGACATTCGCCGGGCCGGTCTGGAAGTGTGATACGGATCTGCCGTGTTCCATCCACACTGAATCCACACTGTCATAACTCAAGCGCGTTTCAAGGTTTAGGGGTTTGGTAGGAAGTTTAGGGTGCCGTTTCAGGATGCCCTGAAGCCTTGAACATGTGCGACCCGCCTCAAAAGCCAAACGCGTACCCGAACTTTTGTCTTGAATGATGCGCAAACCCCCCAGCATCCGGACAAATGGTGCCGTAACATAGCTCAGCATCCGAGCCTCAAACCCTGACGGCAGGCACGGCACCTGCGCGGGCACCGGCGGTTAGCAAGCCGCATGCCGAGGCATGTTGGGTGCCCCCTGAGACCGGAGCCACAATGATGACTCCACCCAACCGTTTCCGAGCCCCCAAAACATATGTATGCCTTCGGCATCTTCGGCCCTCAGCCCCTAAGCCACACTGTCGTGAACCTCGAAGCCCAAAGAAAAATGTAGCATGCACGCCCCCCAGGGTGGCCTCGGGCTTGATGAGGACTGTGATGACCTGGCGCAACTTTTGGCACGTGGTTCCCATACGATCACGGTTTAGGGGAAGAAGCCCTTAGCTGTTGATGTCATGATCAGCGAGAATGTCAAAAGCGCATATCTTAAGATATCTTAAGACTCCGATGATTTCAGCTCGTAGGCTGAAACCTTGAAAGGTTCAAAACTCTTTGGTTCGACCATTCTGGAAACCTGCGAGGCAGCTACGCAGGCAGATGAAAAGCAAGCAAAGCAGGCAACAATGACAAGAGCACGTGTGGCAGACTTTTGAGGTGTAAGTGTTCGAAGCAGGTCTCTAGTAGCATGTCAGGGCATATGAGCTTGTCGAGACAAGGGCTTCGGACTTGGAAAGTTCGAAGCTGAACAGCATATATGACCCTGAGTCAGGCCGGAAGCCTTTGGAGCTGGCATACATCCTTGAACCTGAAAGCTTATAGACTTGCAGCACACCTTGCCCAAAAACCATAAAGTCCGAAAGCTGACATGCTGGGGCGTTTTGGGCCTATTGAGAGGATGACAGCATGCCCACACCTACGACGCTGCCGAAGGCCCTGAGCCGGCTGTCCGTTTGAATGTGATTTTCTGGCTGAAGCTGGTAGGGGTTTAGGGTTTAGGGTTTAGGGTTTAGGGTTTAGGGTCGGGACACCAAATGCTGCAAAGGGTTTGGGAGACGGAACTTGAGGGTCTCGTGTGCCCGTTCAGCACACAAGCCCGAACATTCGCCAGCCTCCAAACGCATCAACACCTTGGCCGTTGAGCGGATTGAGAAGCAACGTGTCACAGCGAACATGTCCCTTCAAGTAGGCCCTTCAAGCACAGATTTTTGGATAGACTTCAGGCGGCGTGCCGGGTCAAGCAGCTCATGCCGGCTTCTAAACAGCCCTACACAGAAACCCTAAATCCTAAACCCTAAAACCCTAAATCCTAAACCCTAAACCCTAAATCCTAAACCCTAAACCCTAAAACCATCGCAAAGCCTGCAGGCCATGTCCCCGGGCGACACGCTGAAAGGGGAGCTTCAGGCCGAAGCAAAGAGTGAGGCGGGCTCAGGGTTGCCGACCCAGGGCTTCCATTGGGTTTAGGGTTTAGGGTTTAGGGTTTAGGGTTTAGGGTTTAGGGTTTAGGGTTTAGGGTTTGGGGTTGAAACTCATTTTTTTTTGGGGGGGGGGAGGGGGGGTCATATTTCATCCACCTTCTGTGTCGCTTTTCGTCCCAAGGCTCTTTGCATCCCTTTGCCAAGAGCTCATCAGGCTATGCCAGTGCACTCGTCTGGAAGCTCCGTCACCCCGATATGCATTAATTGTGCTCCCAATAATATCAGTTTGGGCTGCCTCCTTGGGACTTGGCTACGATAGACAGAACACCTGAACTTGTTGGGGTTTGAAGTGTCATTCGATCTGACACTTTCGATTTACGGGGTAGGTCCATAAATCCTGTACTTCCCGGTTCCTTACACATGACGATCTGGGGATGTCCTGGGCTGCTCGTTATTCAGCTGCAGGCTGCTTTGTCCGCGCCTCCGCCCAGACCAAAAGGTGCGGGCGTGCCGGTGGGAGGGCCGCTTCCGCAGCACCTAATTTCTCTTCAAATTCATCGAGGGTTCTTTGAGGTTGTGCAGGTGCTATGACCTTAGAGTATTGGTTGTGGATTTTGGCGGTTTGAGGTTCTGGGCCGAAACCAGCATTCCCAACATCGATGCCATGTGAATCAGAAGCATGAAGGCCGAATCACTCGAACCAAGTGCTGCTGCGAAACCGTCTGCGCTGGTTTGCTTTGGGTTGTGTTCAACACCGCTGGCATCGTTTTCGGGATGCTTTTTCATTCCCTAATCGCCCTGCACCGTGCTCTGCTGTTCGACGGTTCTGGCAGGCTTCGACACCAAAACCCTTAACCCTAATCCTATATCCCCCTTGGGAATTCCTTTTTTATTTTTGTTTATATAAAACCCAAGAGGATATTAAACATACCATTTCTATTGAGGATCTAAGGGGAGTATAGAATCTGCTTGTAATGGGCAGTGGACCCAAAACAGTGCCCCAAGACGCCACGGATTCGGGCCAGTTGTGCAAACTTGGGACATTCTGCGTCCAACAAAGATTTGTAGTTCGAGGTAGAGGTGGGCCACTAGGATTTCAGCATTGAGGGTTTTATGGATGCTCACAGCAGTGGCAGCTAGCTGCAGCCATGTCCCAGGTACAAGGATGCTATTTGTAATTCGGATATCAAGAGTATGCTGCTTGAATCCAAGCAACCACGAACCCACACCAACACTGCAAAACTGCATGTGCGCCCAAGGAAAGGAAAAGGAAAGTCTGTGGCGGGACGCTTAGAAAGAGCTGTCTGGAAGAGGGAGAGCCCCCACAAAACCCTATAGAGCCCTAAATTGTGGCTAGGGAGGGCACAAGTTGAGGACAGCTTGTACGGCCCAAGGGTGGCATCACTTTTCCATTGCTTTCGCTTCGCTCCGGTTTCTGGCATTAGAGAGAGGCACCCTTACCCAGTTTGAAGTCTTGTTGGCTGCGTACCACTCTTTGCCACCCCACGCTGCGACTTGGAGATACCTGTGACGTTGTACTTGTTCCTCTCAGGGTCCCCATCCCTTGTAAGATCTCAAGCCCCAGAAGCACCGAGCCCACAATTAGTTGCAAGACACTTGCTGCAGAACACTTTGAAATCTGATGCCATAGTACGCATTGCATGTTATCGGCTCATTTAGAGAGGGAGAGAGAGAGAGAGAGAGAGAGAGAGAGAGAGAGAGAGAGAGCTTCGAGGGGGGTAGCATTTGGGGAGATCATTGCTGAATACTCGGGGGAAACCGCACACCTCGCGATCAGAGGGGGGCTACGAAAACCGTGGCCCTTCCGAACAAACTGACCAGTGGACTTCGCGCGCCCCTTGGGGCAGCCTTCCCTTCGGGGGGGGCTAAGCGTGCAGGAGAGAGAGAGAGAGAGAGAGACAGAGAGACAGAGAGACAGAGAGACAGAGAGACAGAGAGACAGAGAGACAGAGAGACAGAGAGACAGAGAGACAGAGAGACAGAGAGACAGAGAGACAGAGAGCGAGAGGGAGGGGGAGGGGGAGGGGGAGGGGGAGAGGGAGAGACAGAGACAGAGAGAGAGAGAGAGAGAGCGAGAGTGAGCCAAGTTCGATTTGCCGCCGTTGCGTGGATGAACATGGAGCAGCCATTCCTTTTGGACTGATGGGTCGTACGCTACTGATGGAGTCTTCGTATTTCGCGAGCCAGTAGTCCATCAGCCCCATGAAGCTGAAAAAAAAATCTTCGTGCCCAAGCCGAACAAACACCGTGAAACCTGAAAACACCCAGATCCTTGCATTGGCAGGCCAAAGGTGGCGGCAAGGATGGTGCCAAGGCCCACATTCAGGGCATTTATAGAGCTGGCGATAGAATGGACAGAGTGGACAGGGAGTGGACAGAGAGGACAGAGTGGACAGAGGCGGACAGGCAGGGCCGTAGACGTTCGACATGCAAATTCAGATGTTTTTGTCTGTAGTCCTGCATGGTGTTTGGGCTTGACGGGCTGCCGAACTCATGCAGTCTTGGGTCTTGTGATGCCAGGCTTTGCAGATTAGGATGTGCCGACGATTTCCCAAAATCGGCACCTCTCCCAATGCAGCCTCTAGGCATTCA